AACGGTTTCCTAACTTGAACGTCATACTTGTTACGAACATCGGTGTCATCAACACGTGAAGCTACACAAATAAATTTAACAAATTTAAAATATAAACAACATTTGGATCAATATTTATTGAGCCCGCCGGTATCTACATTTCCATAAGTAACGATTAAACTGCGTATTTGCCGAATATTATTTAACGTTAATAATTACGCAAGGTATTAAATCAATTTACCTACCTGTTCGTGATTGGCCGATGACGATCACGAAAGCGAATAGTATTAAGAGTTGAAGAGGCTGAAAGAATTTCAGATTGCCATGAAAATTTGTCTTGATGTTTTTCCTTTATTACGATCACACGTACAATACGTACATAAATTCCACGAAACAGACTGCACGGACAGAATGTATCGCGCAAAAAATGTTAAAAATAAAGTTACTATTATTGCCCAAACTTCTAACTACGTTCGTAACTTTGCGAATTCTCGACTTCGGTTTGTGATAACCGCGAAAAGCTTCGGTCCGTTCTATGGATCGTTAGCATTTCTTCCAACCAATGAACAGTATTTTTACGAGGAAAAAGATCACTTTTCTGTTCCTTCGCCCTCTAAAATTGTAACTTTGATCGCGAATAAAAAAACGAGGAGTAATCTTATTAACGATGAAACGGAGTCGACCTGGAAAATCCAAACTTTTTCTCTGTTGGATCGAATCGCCGATATTTCTATTTAATTGGAGATTAGCATTTTTCTATTTGTTCTACGATTATATCGATTATAATCTTTGTAATCTTTATATAATCTTATCATTATAATACGAATAAGAAAAGAAATTAAGATTAATCAAGATTAGAGTTAGTCAATGTTGACGCAATAGATCCGCAGTATTAGGGAGAGGGGTTTTAGTGGGTGCAAGCCCCACATATCCTAGGCAGCCGGGGCCCAGGAATGCGCGAGGCATTTCCCCTCTTCCGCGTAAACAAAAAAAAAAGATCCGCAGTGAATCGAAATTGGTGACAACCCCGATATATCGGAAGAATCGAACCTAAAAATAACTTACTGCTACGAGTTTAATACCTCGAGCGCATTGCCGTGTATATTCTACGACGAAGAAAAGGGACGCGAGAGAGTTCAGATAGAAGGCGATAAATCGAGACGGTTCGGACCCTCGAAACTTTCCCATCGGTGGGCGCGCGTGTCTGACGAAAAGTGCTCTCATGGACTTATCGATTCGATATGTCGGGACATTGTGCCTGTCCCATGAGCAAAATCGAAACAGAAGTAAGTCGGATAAAAGCCCTTCCACAATAATGGTAGATCGCGAGTTCTGATAGGTCGATATACTTATTTTCGCGACTGTTCCTTTTAAATGTATCGCGACGGGGAAATGGATCGGGGGACAAGTGGTGCAAAAAGTAGGGTATTGGAAACATATCTCTCTTGTCTCTTTACTTCTTAGAAATGCCCGTTTTAGAGCGATAGTAAGAATTCACAGAAATACGACTCAAGGGTAAGTAAACAACTCTTTTCTTTACATTTTGATCGAAGACGCTCGAGGGAATTATCGGGAATTAACGATAGATTTGTGGGGGAAAAATCGGTTTCTCCGTCCGGCGATTGTCACAGAATGAATGAGGGGAAAAAAAGAGAGAGAGCGGGTGTGTGAAGTTGGCACCCCTACTTTAAAATTTGATAGTTCTGATTAGAGTTCCAGCTTCTTTTCGAAGAGTATAGGAGTACTTATATTTTTTTTAAAAAGAGTTCCGGCGATTAACATTACGAAAAAGGCAATTAAAAAATGGGGTGCTAACTTCACACTCAACTTTAAGACCGAATAGTTCTGAATAGCTCATTTGAAGCATTTTGACGAATACTATAGTTCCTGATAAAAAAAATTTTTTTTGAATTGTTTTAATAACAAAAAAAATTCCAAAAGTTTAATTTCAAGCCAGAATAGTTATAAGTAGCTCATTTGATTCCTTTCGAAAAATTCTAAAGTTCTGATAAATAAAAAATTGCAAAACCTTAGAATTGTTGCTCGTGTAGTTCAGAGCATCCTGAAGCAATTTCTAAAGAGTTCCGGATAGAGCTCTAAGAGTTTTGAAAGAAATTATTATGGTCGAAAGCGATCGGGCCACTAGTTAAAAAGATATTCGACTTCGAAGATGCAACGAGTGAAATTCAACCAAGTCCGCATAGAAATTTTTTTCAAGAGTTTCAGGCGTTCTGATGAGAGTTTTGGATAGAGCTCTAAGAGTTCTGAAAGAAATTATTATGGTCGAAAGCGATCCGGTCATTAGTTAAAAAGATATTCGGCTTCGAAGATCTTCCGTGAATGTCATTTGTGTAACTTTTGATGATGATTTTTTAATACAATTCTAAGGTTTTTCAATTTTTTATTTATCAGAACTCGAGAACTTTTCGAAAGGAATCAAATGAGCTACTTAGAACTATTCTGGCCTCAAATTAAACTTTTGGAATTTTTTTGTTATTAAAAAAATTAAAAAAAAAAATTTTTTTATCAGGAACTATATAGTACTCGTCAAAATGCTTCAAATGAGCTATTCAGATCTATTCGGTCTTAAAGTTGAGTGTGAAGTTAGCACCCCATTTTTTAATTGCCTTTTTCGTAGTGTTAATCGCCGGAACTCTTTTTAAGAAAATATAAGTACTTCTATACTCTTCGAAAAGAAGCTGGAACTCTAATCAGAACTATCAAATTTTAAAGTAGGGGTGCCAACTTCACACACCCAGAGAGAACGGCGGATTCGCCACATCGCCGGACAACGTACCGTGTGTCTCGCCATGATAAATCGGCCGATCTACGACTCTACGAGTCGCAAACTCCGGATGGTAACGATCGATGAAACCGCTGTTGGCTCGGCGCGGCGGCCGATCTCGCGAGTACGCCCGACGAAGACTAATATATCGCGTACTTTCTCAGCGTGTCGCGGCAGCAGCGACACGTGCTCCCACCTCTTTCGACAAATCAGGGACATACCCACGCGTGAGCATGCATCTTCCGTCGTGTTTGTGTTTCTGCCTTAGACTAATTGTATACTATAATATTTGTCGATATTGATAAGGTGATCTTTTCATACAACGTCAGATTTATATGAAGAAATGACTCTCTTTCATGCTCCTAGATAAAGATACGGGGAAATCCGTAAATATATCATTGAATAGGTTTAACATTATCATCTCTCAAATTTGCAATATTGCGTTAAGGAAAAAAATTGAAAGAAAACTGTGTGAAAAAATGTAGAAAAGAATTGTGGAATACATTTCAAATATAACATAATGTACATACGTATAATCGTGGATCTTTTTCAAAGAAAAATAAGCGATATTATTTATTAATTCTCGATTTTTATTACATATGTTACAATTATCGTTGATTATAATTATTTTGATTTTTTTATATTAAAATAATTAGCGTAATTATTCAGCTCCCCCCACTTGGGGGCGACATCGGATATGTGAGAAATTGGTCCGGTCCACATATTGAAGGAGGACCAATTGATGGGCATGCTGGGCGCGCGGGCGGGGTAACCGCGCGTCCGTCGCAATAACCTCCAACGCGAGGGGTGGCGGGTTGGGGTTGGTATCTCTTCAACCCGCCACACGGAGTTAGGTTTTTGTTAGGACCGCGGGGCGTTAAACGCCCCGGGATAGGCGCCCAGCTATCAGGCGCGGCGCGGCGGGGGAGGGGGTCCCGGACGAATCATTGCGCTACCCGGGGCCCCATCTCTTAACCGAAAAAACGCGCCGTGAAGGACACCCGCGGGATTTTAGTCGGTAAAAATCCGGCACTCCCCTCGCCTCTCCCCGGAGGCGAGTGGTTCTTCCCCTTCCTCTTCATAGAGAAGGATACTGGGCAAACCGGGCTTTGGCCCGGGATCCCAATAGTAAAAGATTTATCCGCGTCAAAAAAAAAAAAATTGTTTAGCTCGATATCTATATGAAATTTCTAAATCGCGCTATAGAGACGAGATATGACTTATTGTTAGTATCAGCTGACTTCCGATGTTTTATACGTATTTATACGCGATAAGCAATATTACTTTTATGCACGATTACGTGCTTTTCTTTCTGAATCGTCACGAATTTGATAAACGCGCGTCGTTATAACGATAAACTTTTATAATGACATCATAAAATTGTGAACGTCGTGACAGAAATTTAAAGGCAACGCGGACGACAATGCGACGTACTGCACTAAATCTCAGCTGACTATTATTATTATCAAGGCCGCCTGTTATTTAACTACACGCGCAATAAGAGACGATTATCTCCACACGCTCCTGCAAGATAAGAAACTAATACATACGCTTGGTTAGTCCAGCGCCGAATATGTTTATCAATTAAATAGATTGGGAGATTGATCAATTTCATCAATCGAGATTGTTTCTTTATTAAATGGCGAGAGCTAATTAATTTGATTGAGATAAACTCATCCGGTAGAGATTATTATTCGAATAATTATGAGTTGATGCATTAAATAGAATACTGTCTTCAGAAATGAGAAAGATATAATTTATTGTCTTTTCTTAATTTATTAAATGAAGATGAAGAATGAGCGGAACATTCGTTGAGACAGCAAGTACATCTTTCGCGTGCGCTTGCTATCTAAAACTGCTGTCAGCAATAAAGGCAAAAAGTTTCTAACGATTTCCTCCTGTCACGAAACATGTCGTTTCGAAATATTGCATCGCGCCAGGCGCGCACCGTTTTCAATATTGTGATCGAAACGCACAAATTACCAATGTCTGAGCGCGTGCGCGCATGCACACACTCGGTTCCTTTTAATCTTTTTACATAAAAGCTTCTACAATAAAGATGTCGAGCTATCGCACGTCGTTCGGTTGTTGCAAAAAGAAGACCATATCACTATCGAAAAAGGAATTCGTGACTCTTCAACCGTAGGCAATAACACCAGCCGGAATAAAAATCGAAAACTATCAATTCCTCGATGTCTCTTCCATCCTTGATTTTATCAATTGTTTCAAAGAATTTGTCATCGCAGAGTAACTTAAGAAATCTCACGTCGTGCCTTTATCCTTCACAATGGTTGCACTCTGGCATCTCAGTCATCATATTCTTCTCTTTTGCTTCCTCATATAGAGGAAGCTTTGTTTTCGTAAATTTGTATATGAACCTTTGATTGTGTATAAAGTTGGATCTAGTCAACCAAATTAAAAAAAATTATATATGAAATAGGGGTAGAAGAAACCAAAGAAAAGATTGGTTTTTGAGTTTTTTCTGCCAATATGTTCAGATTGTTGTAAAACGTCGAAATATCGCCTAAAAAAAAATGTCGGTATGTATATATGCATGTGTGTATGTATGTGCCAAATTTACCGAAATTTCTATAACTCCAGAACTGATCAACCAAATCTTAACCAATTATATATGAAATAGGGGTAGAAAAGTCTGAAGAATATAATAGAATTAATAAAAATTGTTAATAATAAAGGGGTTATCGATTTCTGTTAAAAAAACAACCAAGTTTACTGAAATTTCTTTAACTCAAAAACTAATTACCAAATTTTAAAAAATTATACATGAAATAGAGGTAGAAAAGACTGAAGAATATAATAAAATTAGAAATAGTTCAATATTTCAAAATTTGCAAATGTTATAGCAACCACGAATATTTCTAAAAAAAATTCAAAAAATTTTATATAGTTTGATAGAATAATCGGGGTAAAGGAGTTTTTTTAAAAAAATTTTGAATTTTTTTAAAAATGTCTGTAGTTGTTCTAACTTCCGCAAATATTGAGATATCGGGCTGTTTTTTTTTTTTTTTTAATCAATAGAGTATCATTCAAGGAAGGTCGGTATTGAATTTGGCGGTGATCGGTAAAGGGGTTTTTTGCAAGTAGAAACCTTTGCTCACAAAGCTTCCTCTATGAGGAAGCCAAAACAAATAGAGGAAGCTTTGTGAGCAAAGGTTTCTACTTGCACACTTAAAAACTATGAGGAAGCAATGTGCAGGTTTCTACTTACACACTTTACTTGTTTTTTTCACAAACGTTTTCCACACTTGAATCAACATCCAAATCTTTCGCTCCAGTCAACGCGGATCGTGAAGGACACGCTCGTCATGATCGAGATTCCACGTGGGGAAATCTCAAGCCGTGGTCATCGAGAGAAAACAATCACCCGTTCTTCGTTCCACAGCTTCATCTCGTCGCGCAGCGAGTGTGACACACTTTGCGGGAAGAAGAATTGCCATCATCATCGTCATCGCGCATGGCCGCGTCTGTCTTCGTCGCGTACGTCATTTCGCACGTGGATCACAATCGAATCCCTGGCTCACAGCAATCAGTCAATCTCACCCAGTCGTAAGGTCGCCGGCTCCGGCGCTCTCGCACCGTTGGCGATCGGACGAAGAGAAGCTCGGAAAATCGCAACGCGACATCGGGCAGATACGGGGTGGCGATTATGAGAAAGATACCCGCAAAATGCATCTTTAAGTAGACGGAATATCTACAAAAATGTCTCCATAAAATCTGTATATATTTCGTTTACGTTCCTTCCTTTTAAATTTGTAAAATGGAGAGCAAAGCGAGAAACGCGCTGACGAAGATCTGGTTGGGCGATTATTATTTTAATTATTAACATTATCTTCGTCGATGATTGCGAAAGCCCAGATTATCTTCTCCTTCATTGAAAGCCTATATAGTCTTCCTTCTACGCTTCTTCAGCTTACCGACGTCCTCTGCTTTTTTAACGCACGGGAATATACAGTGCTATTTTTGATAAGCGAATCCCAAAGGTGAATGACTGGAGTTGAAGTCATAACACACCATTTATTTTTTTTTTTTTTTTTTTTAAATTTAAAGGCATATTACATAATAAAGCTCATTGCGGTATATTGGAGGTAGTCGCCATCTCATCTTAATGACACAAAATATAAAAGCGTCGCGATCTGGGTTACCTACCGGTAAGCCTTGCATTCAGTTCAACGTTTACCGCATACCTCGGAACTTCTTCTGGCGTCACTTGCCAACAGCTGTTAAAATACGGTAAGACCAAGAGAGGTTTTGATGTGCTCAAGGTACTCGAGTATATTATCTTATACGTGCTGCACACGTTGATAAAATTTTGCAAAACATGTTATATCAAATCTTAATTTAGATAGAATTTAACACTAATTTTTACATGATGATTTTAATCGAAGAGGTCGATCGATTGGATATTTACTTATAGAATAGCATGGATCAGATCAGCGTTATTAACAAAAAAGGATTTCGGTTTTCTAAAATATTAAAATACCTCGTGAAAAGAAAGAGTGATAACATAGAAATAATTATTAATCTCCGAAGCAAAATTCATTCATTTTTTTAACACGTTTTCCCAACGTTCATCAAAATATAGCATTTCACAAATTTGAAACGTCAGCGGCGGGGCGAGAGAGCAAAGGAGGAAGTGTATTATCCCGGAAACTTTCGGAACAACAATTTCTTGCGTCAGCCCTCCTTGGCGCGCAGCCCCGTGAAGAATATTTGCGACCCTTTCATGGGCGCGTTTACTATCGATCGGGGAGGATATAACGCGTACCAGTCGTCGTTGCTACGAGTCGAGGAAATGCCAGAAGAGAGCAAGAGAGAAAGACAGAGAAAGAGATCGAGTGAGAGAGAAGGAGAAAGAAAGGGCGAGGGAGAGGGAGATAATCAGGGTGCCACAAAGGCCACCCCTTTCAGACCGACCGCGGTCGGTTCGCGTGGCTCATGTGCGCCCCGTGGTCCCACCGGCGTGATATAGCCTTCGCGTACGCGGAAAAACCACTTTGACTAGGGCGCCGAAGTCGTTTCGATCTATGAATAGATCCTGATCAGTTTCCAATCGCGCAACGTCCGTCCGTTCGTCGTCCGATCGAGCCGACGAGG